TGGGGTTCAGGGGAGGGCATGGTGGAAGCCTGCTGCCAAGAGGGGAAAAAAAGGTGGCTCTGGAGACATAGGTAGACCCAGTTACATAAGGCTGAGAACCTGGCCAGAAGCAGGGGGAGGACAGTGGTGTACAACGGGGTCAGTGGGTTTCTTCTGGTATTACTGTGCCTTTCTCTTCTCTCTGCATGACTCCAGTCCTTCTCTGGATGCTCTCACATGGGGTCTGCAGCCCCCCCTCCCCCGCCTTGTGGTGCACAGAGCCTCCCAGAGCTGAAGCACGAGCACACAGCTCAGCACTTCATATTGTACAAATATGGCCAAGCCACCCCTTGCATGGTGTGGTGAAATAGGTGGCCATACCCTGCAGGATGCATTTCTGCCAGCAAGGCAGCTGGCTCTCTTGACTGTCAGGACCTCTGTACCCCACTAGCCCTGACTAGCCTCCCCCGCTGCAGTTTGCTCCTCTGTCTCAGCAGCTCTCCCCCACAGGTATCTTGTTGCATACCTCTTCAGCTCCCTCTTTCTTGTGTAGCTTGAGCAATTGATTTTTGTCTCTTCCCAGTGGAAGGAGAAACTGGTGGTGGCGTCAATGCTTTTTTGGTACTGCCTTGGTCTGGTACCAGGACTGCCCAGAGTCCCATTTCTGTGAACAGAGGCCAAGCCAGCAAGAGCAAGCAGTTCCCTTTTCCAGGACCAGCCACAGTTACAAAGCAGGACTGGCAAACGGCTGCTTGAGTGGAGCACAGGCTCAAGCATCCCTGCGCTGACAAACCTGTGTCTCTGTCAGGCTGCAGATAGGACGTGCACCTGCAGAGTTTCGCCCATGTGCCCTGCTCCCCCATTCAGGGTGCACTGCTCCAGTGACAGACACCCAACTGGTACTCTGCACAAAAATCCACCAGGCTCAATAACAAACCACTTCACTCGTTACCTCCTCACATTTTGCTTTTATTTTCAGCAATTTCTGTCTGCTCCTTCCTGACACCGGTATAGCCCCAACCAGTTCAGGGCTGGTATCCACAAATATGCATGTAGGCTAATCTCTGTTTGGTCTCTGCGTTTCCAGTTGAATCAGCTTTTAATAACCAAATATGTGATTTTTTTCCTTTTTCTTTTTTTTTTAAATCAATTTATTGTTACTCTCTCATTTAGATGAGCAAACAGCCATGAAGCCTCCTTGGCTTTCATGAATTTTGTGGCTGTTTATCAATTCCCACAGCATATTTATCTTTATAACACTGCAGCAGGTTTCCTGAAATGCAAGGGACGAACCTTGTCTGTTACAGGTCAGGGCACCTGCGCACTCCGAAAATGCACGTATTCACAGTTAAATCTGCCTTGTGGTGTGGACAGGGCTGCTGTGCTAAACCTACATCTATCTGCATGACTCTCTGATCAAACCGTGATGATGGTTGTGCCTCTAGCAATCGTAATTGCCCAGCATTCACCTGAAATGGAGCATAGCACCTGTTAACTCTTTGCATAATCAGAGCAGAAAATCAGCTCCAAAAAAACCCCAGCTAGGTTCTACAAAGCTGTGCAAATACTGTGCTTAAGAGCCAGAAAGATGGCACAATCCACAGAGTGACTCAAAGCTAGTAACCGAGTGACTCAAAAATACACAGTAGCTATTTTATCTATCTGCCTGTACTTAGGATCAATTTTGATTTGATCTCAGAAATAAAAATCTGAAAGACATTAAAAGGCAAATTGCACAGTCTAGCTAGAGATGCCACATTCTGGAAAAGGGGAGCACTGGCATCTGGGGCCAGTCTGATCTCTGCACTTTTGAAAGTGGAACGAGGTGGCTCACACAGCGCACGCCGGGTGTTGCAGTAGGGACAGCGGTGCTCTGCCTAGGCTCCTGGTAGGGCTCTCTTCTGCAGGCGCTGGGCCAGGCTGAAAACAGCTGCATTAATACACCTGCCTTAATGAGCGCTATCTCCTACAATTGCAATTTCCCTCTGTCAAGAAAACTAGGGAATGTAAAACCAAATGCTTTCGTGACCATGGCATCTTGTGGGCCTCCCACAATACCAGTGTCTGCAAACGCAGTGCTGCAGCCTGATACCAGTGGTGCTGGGCAATCCGGATTGCTCTCCCCAGCCATGGACCATTGCAGCACTGGGGAGGGGAAGGAGTCCAGCAGCCATGAGGGCCCTTGCACGCTCAGCCTGGGCACTAAGTCCCTTGCAAGCGTGCTGAGAGACACAGAGCGCACTCCAGGTTCGTGGAGAGTTGGAAGCACTGGTGAGCTACAGGCCCAACAGCCACAATGAAAGACTTGCAAGCCCTGTTACAGATGCCGAGAGGAATGCTCCGCAAGGTGTGAGCGTTAGCGGCTCCTGGGTACAGGCACAGTGAAGAGAAACACCCTGTCCAGCCTTGTGTTTTGCTTACGTCCAGGTAAACATTATGTAAGTGCATACCCTGTGTTTGAGTTACGACTTCAGAGACTTGAGCTGTTGCGTGCTTTGTTGTGGCAGGGGGCCCCCTTATGGCCTTGAAGCCACAGGGACAGTGACGAGCCAGTGGCGATGGGATGGAAAGGGGCATGGTGGCTTTGCGGGGCAAGGTGACACCATGAGCTTGCAGTGAGTGGCTTGGGCAGCACCAGGCACCCCCTCCTCTCAGAGCACAGTCAGGCCAGCCCCGCTCATGGCTGAATTTGAGCCCCAGTGATGGAAACCCACCATCTGCCCAACCAGTCTGCTCCAGCAACAACTGCTTGTCTCCTTACAAACTGGCGGAGTTGGTGTGTGGGGGAGAAGTATTGTCTTTTTTTGGGGGGGTGCCTAAATCACATCCCTTTTGCTTCAAGCTAAGGTCATTGCTTCCTCACCATGCCAAGAGCAGATGGTGAGAACAAAATATTCCCCTCCTCTTGACAGCAGCTTTTTACAAGTTTGCAACTTCTTAAGACTCCTCCCTATTAACAAGCTTGCAAGTTGTTAACAGACACCTGCTCTGTCAAATGAGAGGACTGGGATCAATCTTTTTCTCATAGGTTGTATTTCCAGAGCTTTCTTTTGCTTTCCTCTGGATCCTCTCCAGCTGATCTACTCGCCTCTGGAAACACAGTGCGCAAGACTGGAGGCCTAACCAGCGCTGAAGGTGGGGGGGAGGCAGAAGAATTTCTTCATGTGTCCTCCATGTGACATTCCTGTTTATACACCCTAGCAATGTTAGTTTTTTTCGCAACAGGATGACATTGTGGACTTGAGTTCAGTTTGTCATTCCCAATAACCTCCAGTTCTTTTCTGCAGCACTGCTGCATCGTCATCGTGCTGCGCTCATTGTTCCTGTGATTATTTATTTATGTGGGACAGTCAATAAATCTGGCTGTGGTGGTCAGCAGCGATTGTGCTGCAGCTCCCAGCTGCCTCACACTGGAGAAATATGAGGCAGTTCATGACTTGCTCCTTCCACTTCACCCTCGAAGTTCCCAGGGAGGGCACTGAACCAGGTCAGAGCTCTTGGCCCATGGCAAGCCAGGCCAGGCCCTTCCCTCCCCTTAGCGCAGCAATGACATCAGGAGCAGTCAGAAACAGAAGAGCCGAAAATTAAAAAAAATGAGAAAGAGAAGCCAAAGCAGAGGTGAAGATTAGTATTGGTGTCCTCGGCTTCCTGTTGCGCTCTCCTGCTGACTGCTACTTGTTGCAGTGAGACTAGGAACCCAGAAGACGGCGCTGACCAAGCTGTGGTACTTTGAGCAGGAGCGAAGTGACGGAAAGCATTTTTTAAAAAATTCTCATTATAGCAACAGAAATGGACTAAGGTTAACTCAGTTCTACAATACCTTGAAGTTTGTACCTCACTTGTGAGCAGCAAACACTCTAGTAAAACACCGAATGCATCAACAAACCAACAGAGCAGTGCTTCCCAACTCTGTCTTTGAACAAGTAATTCCAGCACATCACAAATTCCAAAGAAAGCTTCAGCTCAGGTTGCTGGATGACCATGACCAAGAGCGCTTGCTCTGCACTTATTTCACCCCTTCTTGTGGCTCATGATTATTCAACTTAGTTGTTCATGTCCCTCTCATGGCAGTTAAAAGCTCTACTAAGCAAAATGGCACTGCCCATGATCCTGAGATTATACAAAGTGTTGCTAAAGCTTGTAAGCTCATCCTCTGCGTGGCAGCAAAGAGGCCTGGGTTCTGGCACACGAACATGAGTGATGCAACATATGCACACCAAAAGGTGTGTGCGACAGCCTCGCTGCTGAGCATCTGCGCTGTCTCCAGAGCCCTCGTCCTAAGCTCCCTACGGTCTCCCCATTTCCTAACTTATCATCATCATACAACTCCTGTCCTCTCTATCTGAACTGGGGGTTGAACAAAGAGTTCTTTTGTTTTGCTTCTCTCTTATCCCCAAACTAAGTAAATTTTAAGACGAGTTTTCAGATCTCCTGTCCTTCGTGGAGTCAGGTGAAACATTGAGGAGAGCGTTTTCCCTTCTGTCCTTGCAGGAGCAACAATCTCATGGTATCAGTCTATAGGATTGTTGCTGTTGCTCCTGCAATCTTACTGTTGCCACCAGTTTTACAGATGGAGGAAATGTATTTCTGCATCTTAGTGACAGATTTGGACCTCTCAGGGCACATATTCAGATGCTGTGTCTGAGACCTCATGGTGTAACCCTGTTTCCCTAAAAGTCTCTATTTTCCTAAATGCAACAAAAGTGTTTCTTTGCAATGGTAAGGCTTTTCCAGGCAGCGTTTGGTCAGACTCTTGGATAAAAGCATTCACTCTGGCTATGGAGTTTTCTATGCTTCCCTCTGTATTTCCAAATTGTCCCGCTGTTTATTTTTTCCCCATGGCACACAGCCTTTCCTCAATCAGCTGTGCCCTTACCAGCCCTGAGAAAGGCTGACACTTGTGCATGGGTGAGATCTCGGGCACTTGCCTTCACTCCAGCAACCACCAGTAAACGAAGGAGCAATTCATCGCCTGCTCTGCGGGAAGGTGATGGCTGCGCGCAGCAGCCTCCTGGGACGGGATGGCAGCCAGTCCCACTGGGCAGCAGGACGTTATTGTGCATGGAAATGGGGCAGCCGGTAAAAAGGTCACATCATATTGTCCGAAGTGGACACCAGCAAACAGACACAAAAGAGGTCTATTTGGTTCTGCATGGTTCTGCATGGATAAATGGCAACACATCCAAAGAAAATTACCTGAACGTGGCCTGCAGAGTGCTGAACTGAAACCTGGCAGATGCAGTGCAGGACAGGTCCCAAGGTGGTGATGACTCTTCTCTGCAGACACGGGCTCCGCGCACCAGGGCAGCCGGAGAAGCAACAAAATGCTGTGCGTTGCCAGAAGAAGCCAGGACAAGGCAGAGGCAGCCATTCTGCTGCGATATAAACCCCTGGCGCACGCGTGTCTTGGGCGCTGCATGGAGGTCTGGTCACCGCATCACGAGGTGGATCTAGGGGAGTTAGGGAAGGCCCAGAGAAGGGCAGCTGGTACAACGAAGGGAATGGTGCCACTGCTGTGCGAGGAGAGACTAAAAAGGCTGGGACTTGGGTTTGAGAAGGGAACAGAGGGGCAGGACTGAGGTTTACAGGGGCACGAGGTGGCAGACAAGCTGAATGCAGAACACTTTCACCGAAACCCGCAGCACAGGAAAAAGTGGCACTTGTGAAAATCAGTCGGTGCTCAGTTTCCAATAGGTACGAACGCGTACGTGTTATATGGCAGGTGGGGAACTTCAGGACCTTGTCGCCACGAGGGGCTGTGGGGATACTGCCCGTGTGAACGCAAAGGGAGCGGCCGCGCTGGCGGACAACGGGTCCGTAACCGGGTGCCGAAGGGAGCGGGCCGCGACGGCGCCCTCTTAACGCCTCCCTCAGGCGGGGCAGGGCCGGCCGCGGCGGAGCC